TATTATTATTATTATTTTTATTTTTAATAAAATGCTGAAGTGGTAGGTAGATGCAAGATAAAGGTAGAAAACATAGTTTAGTGCTGTAAGAGGGCAAATGTAGATGATCAGATGATCAGGTGTGTGCCTATGGACTAAGTATTAATCCAGGCTAGACAAGGGCAGCAAAACATCCACGGATGCAGAAGATTTCTCTCAAAGCAGGGGGGGTGAGGTTCTGAGCCTCACCTCTGTTGATCCCCAAATTCTCACCTGATGGCCCCCCTGCGACTGTGCCTGTCTTAGGTTGTTCCTCCCTTGAGGAATCTTACCCGTCTCTGGCTAACCAGTCATCTTCCCGGGCCATACAGGGAAATGTAAAGTTGGTAAGTGAGAGAGAAGCCATATTGTTTGAAAAGGTTAGCTTTTTACTTCTTTGCAGATTTATGCCCTGTGGCTTCTATGCCCAGCACTTGTCTTGAGGCATCTCACTAATGATTTTTATATTGATTATATGTTGAGATAATAATTTAGATATACTGGGTTAAGCAAAATACATTAATAAAATTTACCTCACCAGTTTAAGTTTAAAAAAAAAAAAACGTAGTATTGGAAAATTTAAAATACTGATGTGCATTTGTGGCTCCCCTTATATTTCTATAGGGCATTGCTAGGTAGGGTTTAAGGTGGAGAAACTCAAGGGGAGAAGACACAAGATAAAGAGAGAGATCCCCCAAAGTGAGCTGTATTTATAAGAGGAGTTTGACCCAGGGTAGCAGAAGGTCCAGTTGAGATGGACTTTGGAGGTCTCCCTCTTGGGGCCTCATTTATGGCGTCTCCTTAGGCAAATGAAGAAACCCAAAGCTCAGGTGGCGGAGCCCATGGTAGTGATAGGAGGGCAGGGGAGCAGTCAGGATGGTTTACACAGCGATCCACGGATGTGGCCAGGGGCGGCTTGTGTGCAGAATAAAGGGAAGGTGCTGAGGCCATGAGCTGGTGAAGCCTTTGGACACAGCACCATGAGCCCTTGTCACGCCTGCCATTGGTGTAAATGAACTGAACCTTGGTGAGGACCCCTGCCTTCATCTGCTCGGCCTGGAGCCCAGGCACTGCGAGGGGAGGAGCTCGGGACAAGAGGCGGCCGGGCTCCTCCTGCTGAGGCCCCATCCCTGGGAATTGAATCAGGTCACCAGCAACAGTGTTCACCCTCCCTCGTCCTAGATGTCACGCGAGAGCGGCCGAGCCCACTTGTTGCTGGTAAGATTTGGTGGAGCCGGTGTGCAGACACACATACCCCGGCTGGCTCCTTCTTTTTGTTCAACATCAGCTCAAATATCACCCCCTCTGAGAGCCCCTCCCTGACTGCCAGGCCAGCATGGCTCTGACCATCCCCCCACCCCCCAACCCAGATGGCATCTCCTTCAGTTTCACCAGAGCATCTCTCCCTTCCTGACATGAGCTGACCTGTGAACTTGCAGTCATGCTGATTATCCACCTCCTTGACTCTGCAAGAATAGGGACTGTGACTGTCCTGCGTATTACTAAAGTTCCAGGGCCCAGAGTACTGCCTGGCACGCTGCAGCTATTCATTGGGAATTGTATGAAAATAATACATTGCTGTAAACATCTCTTCTCAAGACTTTGGAGAAATCCTGGAAGAGTCCCGTGTTAGGGAAGGATTGCGGGCCCCTGCTCTTGAGGACCAAGTTGTGAATGCACACACGTGGGGCGACTCCGGCGAGTTGGTTTAGATCCAACAGATGTGAACTTCACAGGTCTACACAACCCCCCTGCTCCAGGAGCCTTGGACCCAGCTCAGCGACCCTGGGTAGATGCCGCCCGCTAAGGGGTGCTTACCGAGCTCCACGTCCTGGTCGTCCGTGAGCACCAGGATGATGTTGGGCCGGATGTTCCTGCGGTCCCTCTGAAACCTGCCTTTCAGGCGGTGGTGCGACAGGAGTGCCGGACTTCCATCCAGCAGAGAGAAAACAGCTGCGGAGAGCAAGCACAGCAGGAGACCAGGGGGTCCCATCGTACGTTTCGCTGGTCCCTGCGTCTTTCAGGATGCAGGAGTCTGGAGTTGTGTTCTATGGATTTGCTTCTTCTCTCTCTTCCCTCTCTACTCACAGATCTAAAGGAGGAGGAGAAGAGGTCAATCTTTATGTAAAGGCTGCCCCACTGCTTGGACTCGCATGACCTCTACGATGGCTTCTGGCGCGGGCAAGGGAAGTTTCTTTGATTAGGGGAGCTATAATGGAGCAAAAACCTAACTCGGCCAAGTGAGAGGAAAAGTATTTGCAACTTGCTGGGTCAATAGGCTGGCAGGAGAGCCTTCCAGGACCGCTTCTGCAGGCAGAGTATCTCCCTGGGGCCCGGCAGTGTGCTGGGGGGCAGTTCCAGTCACAAGTCAGATGTCAGCCTGTCTCTGAACCATCCAATGATTCCACAATCTCTCCCACAGAGAGGAAAGGCAGAAGGCCAACTTGGGGAGAGCTGGTTCTGGTTCTGGGACCCGGTGTGGCTCCCAGGCAGCGCGAGACTCAGGGACAGGCCTGGACGAACGGGCAGACACCTTGGGCTGCACGGCTCCTCAAGGGTTCCAACCCCAGCTCCGTCCCTCACCAGCTCGGTCTCCCCAGCAGTAAGCCAGGCAGGGACCTCAGCATCCCCAGGAATGCAGCAGGGAGACGTGGCTGTTGTAAGAACTCAGTCCAATGGGGGGTGTGTGCAGGCCCCCTACCAACAAACCCCAAAGCTGGGCAAGTTTCTCAGATTAGCTCTAAGTTGCAGAATAAACAAATGACAAAAGAGAAAAATGAGGCTGAGAAGCGGAGGGAGAAGAACTGTCACATTCCACTGGACCTCAGTCACCACCCCCACCCAGTACCCCAAGCCAGGTGGGTCACATGCAGAGGTGGGGGAGGGGAGGCGAAGTGGGAACCTCGGCTCAGGCAGCTCCCAGACCTCTGCTCTCGGCTTTGCGGTCATTTCTCTGCTTCCTAGGGAAATGAGCCTTCAGGTCCTTCCAGATATAGACTTCTGGTCTCATTTATTTAAAAGGAGCGAGAGAAAGAGAGAGAGAAAGCAAGCACGCCTGGTGGGAGGAAACCAAGCTTGCTGGTGGGGCTGAGTCACCATCCCTGGGACCCTGAAGGACTATGGGGAACCCCCACTGAAGTCACAGCTCAGGGGACTCACCAAGGGCCCCAGGTCCCCCAAAGGGGTATGTGCTGGCTGCATCATCTCGCCTGGGGACTCCCCACTCCCCCAAATCCCCACCTTCCATTCTCCTCCGGGCAGCTGGAGGGGATTTTCCCAAAATTCCAGTCTGATCAGATGACTCAGCAGGGCCTGGACCAAGGTGAGTCCAGCGAGGTGCTCAGGGAACAAAATTGAAGGGCTGCTCACTCCAGGTGTACAAGTGAGGGTACAAGCCTCGCCTTAGCCCTGTCCTGTCACTCGCCTGCTCAGACCCTCTCCTGGCTTCTCCCAGATCAGGGTATAAAATTCGAACTCCCTGACAAGGCTTGCCTACAACCCTGTGTGGTCCAGCCCCTGCCCACCTCTCTCCTCCTTCCCTTTACTGCTCCCCTCAACTGCTTCTTTCTGTTGCTTAGACAAGCTTGTTCCTGCCCCAGGGCTTTTGCACTTGCTCTCCCTTAAACCCGGAAGAAGTCTTTCCCCAGATTTTGTACAATGGGCCAATGTTTTGGCACAAAGGTCATCTCCTCAGAGATATTTGTCCTGACTGCCCTAAGGTGGTGCCCCCACCTGAAGCACCTTCTACATTTTATAATCAGTTTTATTTCCCTCATAATCCCTTCTATAACCTGCAGTTATCTTATTATTGCCCAGTTCTTCCCACTAGAGGGTCAGTTCCACGTTGTCAGGAAGTGGGTCTGTGTTATTTGTAGCTCGATTCTAGAACCTTGTGCAGTGCCTGGCACATAGTAGGTGTTGAAGACATATTCAGATAGTTAAAGGAGTGGAGATTTTGCTAAGGTCCTCTGCATTCTACAGAATGAGGGCCTGGAGTTTGGCAGGGGTGTACCATAACCTGGGTCTGGAGGCTCAGGGGCCTCTGACCCCAACGCCCTCCCCCGTCATCCTCTGGTCACCAAGGAGGAGTTTTCTGGGTATGGTGTGGTTGGAAAGAGCCCAGGGAAGGGTCCCCTGTCTCCCCTCCTGATCCATTCTCCACCCTGCTCCTCTGTGGCCCAGGAAGCCAACCTGTGTGGGCATGATCTACCCCAATCTTTGACTTCCTGCTGGTTGTGCCTGTGGAGGCCCAGCCAGGAGGGCTGCAGGGCAGAAGGAGGTATAGAACTGGCACATTTACTCTCTGCTCCCTCCCTGGCATACTGAAGCTCCTGGGGCCTTTTTCTCTACATCTGGCCACAGCTCCAGTTGGTAGCCCCTAATTTTCCCCCAGTTCCAGGGGCTCCCCTCCCTCTTCTTACCCCTTCAAGCCCAGGGGTGCTGCTGGCCTCTCTGGCTTGCTAGGTCCTGGGTGCATCATTCCTTATTTGCTCCCTTGACCACACCCTGCCTCTGAAACTAGTGTCTTCAATCAGAGCAGGCTCCATGCAGTGCCTCCCTCCCCAGACACAAACGTCTCCAACAGGATTTCTGTGCAGAGAGTCACATTACCAGGGAAGCTGACGTGGGAGCAAGTTCACAGGACCAGCCTCCTCCCCAATCCGCTCGCCTGCTGGAACACACATCTATCTCTTGAGAGCCAGATCTGCTGTGGCAACTGTGTACTGGGCACCGCTTTGCCCTGGCAGGTGATCGTTAAGACATGGGTTTTGGAGTTTTTGGGTGACCATGGGCAAGTAACTTAACACCTCTGTGCCTCAGTTTCTTCATCTATACAATGGGTGTGAAGGATTCAACAAATTAATACATTGTGCTGAGACTCAAGCCCGGCATGTGGAATTAACCAGAACGTATTATTCACAGTGTAAACCATGATCAGGTTACATCTGGGTCCTGCAAATTCCCACAGCAACCTTCTCACACAGGTACTGGGATCCCCACTACAGAGTTGAGAACAACTGAGGCTACACTGCCGCCCTCAGACCACTGAGAGAGGAGACAGCAGAGCCAGAATTTGCCCCCTGCCTGCTCTGACTGCTCGGCACAGGCCCCTCACTCTGAGCACACGTTTCCCTGCTTCTCCCATTCCAGTGCCACAGTCCCCATTTCTGCTATCGGCACACCCCTTCCAGTACCATTTGTTTTACACACTTCTTGAAATGGCTTCGTTTTAAAATAAAAACACACACATGAGTTTCTTAAAAGGGAAACACTCTATCCAAGGATAAATAAGAAATCGGCACCCCTTCCTGTAGAGCCAACCACCCAGAGAGCAGCACAAGGTCAGCCTAACAGCTTCTAGTTCATGGAAAAGCCTCTAAGCGGAGCCCGCGCTCACCTGCTCTCCCACTTGCATGCTCTTTTTCACAGTAAATTAGCAGGTGTTGCAAGGAGTCAAAGCACATTAGCACCATCTTGAGACCTTCTGCTGGAGGTGATGGGAGGCTGGGAGAGGGCTGGAAAGGAGACACATTCTAGCCATGTCACTGGTCCCTGAGTTACCCCCAAATCATGAGGTGGTCCTCAAATCACATTACTTATCAATCCGCGTCCCCCCTTGGGGGACCCTGGCATGCACTTGAACTGACATGCCAACCAGTCCACTAAATGCACATTACTGTTCCTTCGCACAGACATCAAGTGATAACACATTGAATTTTCAAGGGATGCCCTACGAACAGCAACTCACGCACAGCAGCAACAGTAGCAAGTCCTTCTTGAGAGCTCCAGCCCCAGCTCCAAGCATTGACACACATCAACTTGTTTAATCTGCATAGCCACCTGCATATGCCCATTTTATGGATGAGGAAGCAGAGGCACGGAGAGTTAAAAGCACCTTCCCTTGATCATATGGGTAAATAAGTGGCAGAGACAGAGGTCAAACCCAGCCCGGCTCATGACAGCCTGCTCAACCAGAAGCAGAAACTGCTGGGCAAGTTCCTAAGAGTTTCCCAGCCTCAGCTTCCGCATTTACCAAAGGGAGCAGCAGGTGGCAAGGTGCCGCCTGAGGACCTTTTTGGCTCTGAGCCTGTGAGGCAGAGGTATGGGGGGGCTAGGAGCTGCAGCCTGTACTGGGGGCCCTGGGCAGACGGTAGCTGGAGCAGGAGGGCATGGTCTGCTGGACTCTCCCGGGCTCCCCACCCGACTCCCAGGCAGCTAGAACCTACCATCCACGATGCTTCTTCTCTGGATGGAAGTCAAAGCTCCTCAACCAGAGACTGGAGAAATACAGGGGCTAATGATTTCATCAGATCAAGTCATCAGTAGGTTGATTTTTGATGAATTCCCCCTGGCTCCAATTTCCCTTTCCCCTGGCCTTGTGCCAGCCTCTCCCCTGATGCCAAAGAAATCAATTAAAAATGGCACAAGGGATTTTGCCTCCATTATTCTCCTTCTTGGAAAAGATTCAAAGTGGCTGAACTGAGAGATTATCTGGTGAATCCATGCAGCACCAGCTGACTGGCGTTCCATCCATCCCGTGGACACCGCCTCTTGTTGCCACCAGCTCATTACAAGGCCCCTCCTTCTCCTCCTCCCATCTGTGTCTTCTCACAGACCTTGGCAAAGGCATTCCAGCCCAGGAAGACATCTGTGCAAACGCCTAATGTCCCAAGTGTTCAGAAACACCGCTCCTACCTCTGGATTCATCTGTCAATCTGCAGAGGAGCAGGTCTCACAGTGACTGGAGACCCCGAACCTTGCACACCACAGCTTTGGGGGAACTCTGAGGACCTCAGCCAGGCCGATCTGGAAAGACTCAGATGGCAGTTTTCCTCTGAGGATCCCCAAATCCAACAACAGTAGCCAAGAGGAGTTTGGGGTCCATCTGGTAGCTGAGGGGGTGGGAAAAAAGATGAGGCCAGAGGCAGAACAAGGCACTGATCAGACATCAACCAGACAAAGAGAAAACTCCCAGGGAGGTGGGCAGAAAGGAAATGGTGAGGCCTGCTGGGCTCAGAGCCCATGCAACAGACTGGGGTACCCCCTTAGGTGATCCAGAGAGCACGACCACTATACCTTCCTTCGCTGACT